GAAAGTAAAGGGCTGGAAACAAATTTTCCAAGCAAACAAACAGGGAAAAAAGCTGGGGTAGCAATACTCATATCAGACAAAATAGACTTCAAAAAAGGACCATAAAGAGAAGCCCAGAAGGTCACTTCATAATACTCAAAGGAAGAATCGCCAAGAAGACATAAACATTGTAAATATATATGCATCCAGTGTAGGAACACCCAAAATACATAAAGAATATCTTAGAGGACTTCAAGAAAGATATTGACAGCAACATAATTATAGTAGGGGATTTTAACACCCCACTGTCAAAAACAAGCAGATCTTCCAAACAAAATATCAAGAAAGATATTGTGGCATTGAACAATGCCCTAGATGAAATGAACTTAATTGATATATACAGAGTCCTTCATCCCAAAGGCGCTAAATACACATTCTTTTCAAATGCATATGGAACATTTTCAAACATAGACCACATAATAGGACACAAAACAAGCCTCAAGAAATTCAAGAAAGTTGGAATCATACCAAGCATTTTCTCCGACCACAAGGGATTGAAGCTAGAAACCATCCCCAAGGGAAAAAACCCCAAATACTCAAAATCATGGAGATTGAATAGCACGCTATTAAACAAAGAATGGGTCAAGAATGAAATTAGGGAAGAAACAAAAAGTTCCTTGAAACAAATGAAAATGAACTCACAACAACCCAAAACTTATGGGACACAGCAAAGGCAGTCCTGAGAGGGAAGTTCATAGCAATACAGGTCTACCTAAAAAAGACAGAAACATTTCAAACAAACAACCTAACCCTATGCCTACAAGAACTCTAGGGACAACAACAAAGACAGCCCAGAGCAAGTAGAAGGAAGAAAATAACCAAGATCAGAGCAGAACTAAATGACATAGAGACTAAAAGCACAATTCTAAAGATCAATGAATCCAGGAGCTGATTTTTTGAAAAGATAAGCAAAATAGACAAGCCTTTAAGCAGGTCCATCAAGAAAAGAAGAGAGAGGACTCAAATAAACACAATCAGAAATGAGAGAAGAGATATTACAACTGACACCAAAGAAATACAAATGACTGTAAGAAATTACTATGAAGAACTGTATGCCAAGAAATTTGAAAACCTAGGTGAAATAGACAAATTTCTAGAAAAATATGATCTTCCAAAACTCAGTGAAGAAGAAGCAGAAAGCCTGTACAGACCAATAGAAGCACATGAAATTGAAGCAGTAATCAAAAATCTTATGACACACAAAAGCCCTGGACCAGATGGTTTCACAGGAGAATTCTACAAAGCATTTAAGGAAGAGCTAACCCCTATTCTTCACAGACTATTCAAAAAAATCCAAAATGATGGAAGACTCCCAAACTCTTTTTATGAAGCCAGCATCATCCTAATCCCCAAACCAGATAAAGATACAGCAAAGAAAGAAATCTTCAGGCAAATATTGCTGATGAACATAGATGCTGAAATCCTCAACAAAATATTGGTAAATTGCATCCAACAATACATTAAAAAGATCATACACCATGACCAAGTGGGATTCATCCCAGGGATGCAAGGATGGTTCAATATTCACAAATCAGTAAGTGTAATACATCACATAAACATAAACAAAGACAAAAATCACATGATCATATCAATAGATGTGGAAAAAGCTTTTGATAAGGCACAACACCCATTTATGATAAAAACACTCAGCAAAGTGGGAATAGAGGGAGCATTCCTCAATATAATAAAGGCCATATATGCGAGACCTACAGCCAACATCATACTCATGGACAAAAAATAAAGTCTTTTCCAGTAAGATTAGGAAGAAGAAAAGGTTGTCCACTTTCACCACTTCTATTCAATATAGTATTGGAAGTTTTAGTCACAATGATCAGACAACCAAGAAAAGGAAATAAAAGGCATCCAAATAAGAAAGGAGGAAACAAAACTGTCATTGTTTGTAGATGACATGATAGTGTACAAGGAAAATTCTATAGACTCTACCCCCAAACTGCTCAACCTAATAAATGAATTGGCCTAACAGTGGGATACAAAGTCAATATCCAGAAATCAAAGGCATTTTTGTATACCAACAATGAAACAGCAGAAGCACAAATCAAGAAAAAATTCTATTTAATATAGCAAAAAGAAAAATGAAATACCCAGGAATAAACCTTACCAAGGAGGTGAAAGACCTCCATGCAGAAAACTACACAACACTAAAGAAAGAAATCAAGGAAGACACAAACAAATGGAAACATATACTGTGTTCATGAATTGGAAGAATTAACATCATCAAAATGTCCATAGTACCCAAAGCAATTTACAGATTCAATGCAATACCTATTAAAGTACCAATGGCATATTTCACAGACATAGAACAAACACTTCAAAAATTTATATGGAACCTGAAACAACCCCTAATAGCAGCTGCAATTTTGAGAAAGAAGTGCAAAGTAGGAGGGATCACAATACCTGATATCAAACTGTATTACAAGGCCACTGTAATCAAAACAGCCTGGTACTGGTATAAAAACAGGCACATGGACCAATGGAACAGAACAGAGAGCCCAGAAATAAACCCAAGTCTCTATGTCCAATAATATTTCACAAAGGGGGCAGCAACATAAAATGGAGTAAAATAGCCTCTTCAACAAATGGTGTTGGGGGAACTGGACAGCTATGTGCAAAAAAAATCAAACCTAAGCACCAACTTACACCATACACCAAAATAAATTCAAGGTGGATAAAAGACTTAAATATAAGTCGTGACACCATTAAATTCCTAGAGGAGAACATAGACAGGAAATTCTCAGATGTTTCACACAGCAATATTTTTACTGATATGTCCCATAGAGCAAGGGACATAAAGGAAAGCATAAACAAATGGGATTTCATCAAAACTAAAAGCTTTTGTACTGCTAAAGAAAACTATTAAAATAAAAAGAGAACCAACTGTATGCTAAAACATTTGCCAATGATACCTCAGACAAGGGTTTAATCTCAAAGAATTTATGCAACTCCCCACTAAGAAGACAAGCAACCCAATCAAAAAGTGGGAAAAGGAGTCAAACAGACACTTCTCCAAGGAGGACGTACAGAGGATCTAGAGACACATGAAAAGATGCTCAATATCACTAGCTATCAGAGAGATGCAAATTAAAACCATAATGAGATACCACTTCACATGGTAAGAATGGCCATCATAAACAAAGCAACAAACAAGTGTTGGAGAGGTTGTGGAGAAAAGGAGTCCCATGTTCACTGTTGGTGGGGTTGCAGACTGGTACAACCATTATGGAAAACAGTATGGAATTTTCTAATAAATCTAAAAGTGAATATGCCTTTTGACCCAGCAATTCCACTGTTAGGATTATATGCTAAGAACCCTGAAACACCAATCTAAAAGAACCTATGCACCCCAATGTTCGTAGCAGCACAATTTACAATAGTCAAGAGTTGGAAGCAACCTAGGTGCCCGTCAGTAAATGAATGGATCAAAAAATTATGGTATATCTACACAATGGAATTCCATGCAGCAGAAAGAAAGAAGGAGCTTCTACTTTTTTGCAACAGCATGGATGGAACTGGAAAGCAGTGAAATAAGCCGGGTGGTGAAAGACAAATACCATATGATGTCACCTTTAACAGGAAGCTAAACAACAAAACAAACAAGCAGGCAAAATATAACCGAAGACACTGAAATAGAGAACAGGCTGACAGTGACCAGAGGGGAGAGGGGAGGTAATTTCAGGGGAAAAGGGGAAGGGTTTACAGGAGCAAGTATAGAGGACACATGGGCACAAACTAAGGGGAAAGGAAATGGGAGGGAGGTGGGTAGCACTGGGTGGGTGAGCGTAAAAGACAGAAAACTGTACTTGAACTACAATGAAAATAAATTAAAAAGAAAAGAAAAAAAGAAAGATTAGCTCGCTATCCAGAAGCACATTTTGTCTGTGGCAATAGAATTGCATGAGGAGAGAATGAACCAGGTGTCAAATGCCTGGTGTTTTGAGAGCACAGAGTTGACTTTGCTACATCCTGCTGAGTTCATTTGCTGTGAAAGAGATTGGTAGAAAATTTGCTAGAAAGAGGAGCTAGAGGAATGAGGCTTTTTGAGGAGTGAAAAATTTTGGAAAGAGCAGTGGTAGAGTGTTGGACAAACAAGTGAATGAGAAAAATGTGTAAAGCTTGGCAGGCATTGTGATGGGGTCATGAAAGTTGGGAGAAAATAAATGAATTGTCTGAAAACCTCATACAATTCATATAGACCCTGTGAGTCCCACTTTCTTCACCTACCAAGTGGAAACATAATAATACATATCTCCAAGTGCAGATGTGAAGAACATGTGAATAAAAGCATGAGACAAGGTTTTGTTAACCAGAAGATACATATGTTCATTGCCTTTCCCAGGATTTCTCCTCAGCCCTCTGTGATTCTCCATCCTGGCTTGCATTATTTGTGTATGTTGAAAACATGAGAAGTGGTAGCAGAATCTGATGGAAAGTCTGAAATCCAACTAACACCTATTTCCCTGACTGTTATGATGACATGTACCATGCATTTGTCATTCTTCATATAGAGAGGAGCCTGCAACGACTTGGGACAAGAGGTGGTGCTGTGACTGTGCACTTTGTGGGTCACAGCTTCACACTACTAGTTCCCACTTGTTAAGCTGACCATAACTTCTCTCTCTGCTTATGAGGAAGTTTTGTGTCTTCTCACTCAGTAAGATTAAAAACCACATGCACCATATCACACAAAGTGGGTGTTCTACACACATGGGGAGTGAGAAGGTAATCATTTGCAAGGTTAAGGTGAGCACAGAAACACAGTGAGTGAAAGTACAGGTAAACCTCTATTTATGACAAGAAAATGCCTTGGAGTGAGTCCACAAGTGAGGGCAGCGGGAGCTGTGCTAGGGCATCTCCTGCTATACACATAGTTGTCTAGTGTGATGGGCATGAGCTTCTTGAGTGGATCAGTTGGTTAAGGGCTCTGAGAGCAATACGGGACCTACCACGTTGTCTTTGGAAGCTTCAGACATGGCCATGCTGGAGAGGGTGTACTTCTCAGAGTCCACTTTGGTTTTCTTGATCCTTTTCAACCACTGCCTGTATTGCTCCCAGACCTGCAGAGGCAAAGCATGTTCTGAGTCAGCTTACTGAGAGGACTGAGAATAGAAAGGGTGCTGGGTGGGAGTGGGACTGTGGTACCTGCTGGCTGAGGAGACAGTACACCAGGAAGATGAAGACACCCTGCAGGCTGTTGATGATTGTGAAGAGATAGGCCATGGCATGGGCAGCTGGGCCCAGCTGCAGGATTCCCAGACACCATGCACAGCCCAAGATGAAGAGCTGGGCCATTGCTTTAAATGTCAGCATTCTGGATAGGAGGAGAAGGGAAGCCCATGGTGCACCCAGAATAACAGATTAAGGCCACTCTCATCTCCACCCATGGATGCATGTGACTGACTTGTGATTTACTTTGATTTCTACACTCAATAATTCTCTAAACAAAAATGGTGTTAGGAACTGTGATGGCATTTTGATTTGGACTGAAGTAGTAATAATTTTCAATGTGGGTTTCAAAATGATCATAACGTATCATGACTGTCCCTAATTTCATTCAACTGACATTACTGAAGATGTTCGATGTATCTGACTCTGTGCAGGGTCTTGGGTTTAAAAATACGAAACACAATTTCTGTGTTCACAGACCTTACAGTTTCATGGAAAGATTAAAACAAATGGTTACTTATAATATTTGTGATGTGTGAAGTATCTCTCTGCCTGGGTCCTGTCCAGTACTGGTCCTGTCTTCTCCCTTTCTGTGAACTGTCCCCAGGTATGTTTTGCTCAGAATAGAGGCCACTCATTCTGTGCAAAGTTGAGGAAAGCAAAGGACACCCCAAGCCTTTCAGAAGATGTGGTATATGCATAAAGAACCTGATTATAGCAGGTGTAGGAGTGGAGAGGACAGAGGGAAGAGCTTCCACAAAGGTGTGGGCATGAAGGTATGTGCTGGGTTTTGGGAACAGGTAGGTGATTTCCTAAGAGTTTTATAAACATGAAAATGTTCTTTGGATATTTTTATAGGGCCATGGAAGCAATACTGTGTCATATAACATATAACAGAACAAAGTTAATCCCTCTGTAGCTGAGGTAATTTCATGCTGGCTTTATGCAGAAATAAAATATTTTTGGCTTGCATTTCGGCAGCAAAGCATAGTATCTGAGCAGGTTTCCAGGGAAGGTGGCTGGCTTTCTCCTCCTGTCCTCTTAGAATCCCTGTGAAAGGATACCAGGAGCTTGGAACCATAGGGCCCTGCTCCTGGACCCTGCTTTGTGTGGGGCGGTGTGCCCCTCTGACCTATCTCACCTCGTGTTCTGGAGGGTGGACACATCCTTGTTGAGGGAGGAGAGCTTGTTTTTCAGAATCCAGATGGTCATCAGAAAGAAAGCCAGGTTAATCTGTGGAAACCCCACGAGGCTTAATGAATAAATTTCATATCTGTATAGCTTTCTCCTAGCTCATCAAACACCTAACTCAGCAGGAAAGAAGCTTTTGCATTTCATAGCAGTCATAGAAAAAGTGACCGACCATCTAGTAAGTCTTGGTTCTTGTTGTCCTGTAAATGGAGTGACCAACTTCCAGTTTTTGCAGTTTACAGAGGAATTTTCACATTTCAGCACTGAAAGTCCAATGCCTCACGGAACCTTTGCATCCTTGTTTTAAACCAAAAGTTTTGCCTTCTGTAAGCCCCTTTGGTCCTGGGAAAATCAGAATATTTGTTCATCCTGCCTGTTACCCCTTTTATACACCTGCTCTTTGACTGACCCTCAGCTGAGCAGGAGGGATGCTCTGATGCCATCCTTTACTCACAGAGATGATGATGCAGACAGGGCCAAGGAAGGTCCATACAAATCCCTGTTGTGTGTGGAGCCAGCATCTAGGAGAGGGATGGAAAGGGTTCGGAGAACATATTTGCCTTTGTAGATAAACAATAAATAAATTAACATATCCTTCACTTTCCACAGTTTCTTCTACCTCCTTTATTATTAATATTAATATTGCTTTTTTGGTAAGAATACTTATGCAAAGACCTACCCTCTTAGTAAATTTTAAGTCTATAGTACAGTATTATTAATAATAGGTACCATGTTCTATAGATCTCCTTATCTTATTTGTCTTTCATAATTGAAACTTTGGGTGTGCCCTTGGATATATGTGATGGTCCTGGCTGTTTACTTATCTTCAAATTTATCAGGTTTTTGCTTCCAAAAAGGTTTTTTAAGTCCTGGACCTCAGATATGCTGGCAGAAAAGTATATACATTTTTAAATGAAAAATCAAGATTTAATCAATAAATTAATTGATAACTTATTGGATGAATATTTTGTCTCCTTTGTATTAGCACATGTGACTGACCTGAAGTACAAGTTGCAATTAAGATAGACTGGTCTTATTTTTCAGGGAGGCCCCAGCTGGGTGGGAAGGTCATCAATTAGACAATAGGAACAATCAAGGTGATGAGTTTGTGATCAAATATGAAGAGCTATGAGAATAGGTAGCTGGAGCAATAGCCTAGTATGGGGTATAGGAGGTTCAGGTAGTTGGGAAGGGTGCCTGAGACAACCGATTGTGTTCATTCTGAGATGTGAAGGATGAGCAGGTGTAAAGAGGTGAGAAAATTTGGGGACATGCCAAATGATAATAAAAATATAACAATAAACTGATAGTAGTAATTCAGGCTCATGTGCATTATATAATTTATTCCTCATGACAACAGTGAGACTCAAGTGATCACAGCTTGGCATGTAATGCTTAAGAAAATGTAGTAACTCAGGGCCACACTGAAAGAAATGATAGAACTGGAAATGATCCTAAGTGAGATGCTTGTGAATGAGTTGGGAGGTGTGAGAACCATGGAGTTAGATGGAGCCACCAGAAGACTCAAAGTGAACACTACTGAGGCTGTGTTGGCAAACTGCACCTTGTGGGTCAATGGGGCCACCACATGACTTTGTAAATGTGTTTTACTGGAACACAGTTGCACTCATTCATTTTCCATATTGTCTACAGCGGCTCTTGGGCTACAAGGACAGGGGTGAATAGTTGCAACAGAGACCACATGGCTCACAAAGCTGCAGTATTTACTTTGTGGTCTTTTGGAGGTAAAATCTGCTGACTTTGATGCAAGTTATATAGGGGAGGCAGCTTGCCAGGGCTCCTCTGATGTCAGCAAACATGAATTTTATCAGCACAGGAGTATGTAAATGACACACTGTCTGGATTTGGTCCTGGCTCTGCCACGGACCAACTGTGTGATCTGGGCTGTGTTGGTCATCTCTGTGCCCCAGTTTCCTCATCCATAAAACTCATACAACACTGGTTTCTACCCCAGTGGGTTGTTGGGAGGACGACTTGGGTTGCTATGTGAAAACTGTTCAGAACAATGATTGCATGTCAGAAGTGATCTCTAAATCTTAGCTCTAGTGATCACAGTTTCATTTTCTAAATCATCCTCCTTTTTTCTCTTAAACTGAGGAGAGAAGTAAGTTATACCAACCAATGCCATTTCTTCATTTCCAGTTTTGCTTTCTAGAAGATTTCAAACATTAAATGCAATGAATATTATATCAATATACATTTACTATTATATAAGATGGGATTAATATGTATCATGCTTGTTAATGTAAGAGTCATTAATATAGAGTTGATATTTAAAAGATTAAATAAAACAGTATGCCAGCTAATTTATTTTAATATTAATTTATATTAGTTAATGTTTTATTATGATGATAGTATTAGTTTTTAATATAATACAATCAACATTATATGAATATATATTTAACATACTATATAATTAATATTTAAAACAATGAAATTTTAAGTTCTTAAAAACATTTCTTTCAAGGAATGCAATCATGAAACCAGGAAGATGTCTTTGGGTGACTACTGTGTTTTTCTCTGTTTATCATATTCTAGTGAAAGTAAAGTGCTACATGGGTTCTCTGATGGCCTTGTTCACGTGGAGAAAATAAGACCAGTGTGAACTTTAATTTACCGGGCAGGTGTTCCATAAAGTTGAGGCCTGGATGCTGCAGAAATGGCCACAATGACAGCTGGGACTCCATAGCCCACAAGGAACATGAACTTCTTCATGAACCTGCTCACACTGGAGTAGTTGACCACCATCAGATTGCGTGCAGTGAGAAACAGGTGCAGGCCCTCCAGCAGCATCCAGGTAAAGGAGGCCAGGTAGAGGTAGTGTAAGGCACCAGCAATGATGGCACACAGCACCTGGGGGAAGAAGTTAGAGTCACCAGGTGGGATTGTCAGTGGGAGCATGGGCCCAGAGCTTGTCCTTACCTTGCCATTTGGACAACCTCTGTTGTATTTGCAGGAATTGTCAAAAAAGAGTGTATCTGCTAGTTGGGGCAGTCAGTGTGAAATTGGCTACTCACCCCTCTAACCTTCCCAGAATCCAAGGACATTTTATTAAGTTGTCCACCACAGTATGGCCCCATAAATTCTATTTTCTGACAGGTCAGAGGGTCATTTGGGACAGTGTCAGTACCTTGTGCTCAGTTCTGTCAATGGCCGTGAGGAAGAGCAGGTGGGCCAGGAAGAGGCAGATGCAGAGCTGCAGGTGGAGGGAGGTGCTGGTGTTCTGGATGGCTTTGCACAGCAGGAAGGTGAGGGCCGCCAGGAGGAGGCACAGCAGAGAGAGGCTCAGCCCCACATAAGTGATCACAGCCAGGGTGGGATCCTCCTCCTGGGACCCAGCAAAGAGGAGATCTTAGTCACACTTTTCTGCTCTGGGTAAATGACCCTTCCACCATTTTAGAATTTTTTTTGCGGGGGGGCAGGGGGTGCAAAAAAATTAGGAATAGATCAGGTAAATTTTAGGTATTTATGGATATTGTTAGAATTTTCTAGGGTTCTGAACTGATTGACTCAGATGTTGGAAAAATTGAGGTATAGGAAAGTCTTCACTCAAGACTGATCCTTGGAGTTCACAGGGTTTATTTTTCCTTTACACTTTTTGGCATGACTAAGCTGTATGTTATCATGTGAGAAGAATGAATTGTGTATAGATAATTGCAACATTATTTATGAGGAGATGATCAAGGCCTTCTATGAGAGGCCTTCAAGTATAATTTATGGTGCATTCACAGAACGAAATGGTATGTGGCAATAAGCTGTCTCTTTGTAGGCTAGAATAGAAAGTTTCTTAGATGTAATAAATAAAACACAATTTTCACAACAGTGAAAAAAACACAGCACCAAGTCTTTGAGCAGAAGAAGACCAAAGAACAAGTACCTGCATTATTTTATACAGGGTAGGGCAAAATAGGTTTACAAAATAGGTTGTGAGTACCTGAAACACAATGTTTATTCTTCCATTGCTACTTATTATATTGTATTGTTTTCCACACAAACAACCAGAAGCCTACTTTTGGCCCACCCTGTATGTATAAAAATATCCATAGAAAATTGCAGGAGAAACTAACAACTTTGGTTGGTTGAGGCAAGAGGTACTAGGTGTTGGGATTAGGGGAATGAGATGAACAATCTTTAGTATTTCTCTCTCATTCTGTTGGAATTTGAAACACAATTTTTTCTTTTTGTTTAAAGTATTTTTTATTGATTATGCTATTACAGTTTTTCCAATTTTTCCCCATTTATCCCCTCTCCACTCTGACCCCCCAACCCTCCACCATTCCCTCTGCCCCTTAGTTCATGTCTATGGGTTGTACATATAAGTTGTTTGAGTCTTCTGTTTCCTGTACTATTTTTATCTTTCCCCATTTATTTATGCCTGCTAATTATGCTTCTTCTTCTCTGTATCTTTTCCCCCTTACTCCTCACTTCCCTCTCCCCATGACCTCCTTCTTTGTGATGTCCATTTTTCTGATTCTGTTCCTGTTCTGGTTGTTTGCTTAGTTTTTGTTTTTCTTTTCTTTTAGGTTCACTTGTTAATAGTTGTAAATTTGTTGTCATTTTATTGTTCATACTTTTTATCTTCTTCTTAGATAAGTTCCTTTAACATTTCATATAATGAAATGATATTCTTGGTGATGATGAACTCCTTTAACTTGACCTTATCTGGGAAACACTTTATCTGCCCTTCCATTCTAAATGAAAGGTTTGCTGGATAGAGTAATCTTGGATGTAGGTCCTTGCTTTTCATGACTTCAAATACTTCTTTCCAGCCCCTTCTTTGCCTGCAAGGTTTGTTTTGAGAAATCAACTGATAGACTTATGGGAACTCCTTTGTAGGTAATTGTCTCTTTTTCTTTTGATGCTTTTAGGATTCTCTCCTTATCCTTAATCTTGGGTAACTTAATGATGATGTGCCTTGGTGTGTTCCTCTTTGGGTCCAACTTCTTCAGGACTCTCTGAGCTTCCTGGACTTTCTGGATGTCTATTTCCTTTGCCAGATTGGGGAAGTTCTTCTTCATTATTTGTTCAAATAAGTTTTGAATCTCTTGCTCTTGTTCTTCTTCTTCTGGCACCTCTATAATTCAGATATTAGAATGTTTCAGGTTGTCCCAGAGAGTTGTTAGCCTCTCTTCATCTTTTTGGATTCTTGTTTCTTTGTTCTGATCCAGTGGGTGTTTATTTCTTCCTTTTCTTCCAAACTGTTGCTTTGAATCCTGGCTTCCTTCTTGTCATTGTTGGTTCCCTGTATATTTTGCTTTGTTTCATTTTGGGTATCTTTCATTTTTTGACCAAGCTCAATCAGTTCTGTAAGCATTTTGATTACCAGGGATTTAAATTCTCCATCAGAGAGGTTAGCAATCTCCTCAACGATTAGTTCTGAGTAGTTTTGCTGTGTTCTTTCTTTTGGGTCATATTTTTTTTGTCTTGGCACACCTGCTGAATTGTAAGGGGCAGGGCCTTAAGCATTCACCCAGGTGGGGCAACCCTCTTTGCTGTGGAGGAAGGGCCAGAGAAGGAACAATGCAACTTGCCTATTCAACCCTAGTGCACTTTCTAACAGACTCTCATGTCAGACTGGAAGTACCTCTCACTGCCACAATCCCAACCTGTAGCCCACAGTTAGCTCTCAGTTTCCCCCTTAAGTCAGCCTCTATTGTGTAGCTCTTCCAAGCTCTAGCTGGCAGACAGCTTCTTGCCGAGGTTTTTCTGAGTTGGCCTGCGTGATCCGCCTTACTGGGCTGGTTATTCTGGTTGAGTTTTTCTTAATTCCTTGGATGTTAGAGTTCCATGCAGTTTTTGGTTGTTTATTAATTTTAGATTGGTCGTTATCATCATTTTAGTTGTGTGGGGAAGTGAAGGGTTTCTACCTACACTTTCCAGCCTCCATCTTGGCAGGAATTCCAAAACACAAATATTTTAAATCTTCAGTAAATGTAAAATGGTATGTAAATACAAGTATGGATATTGTGTTATCTAGCAATGTGGCCAGAGGAAACGTGGTCATATATTGTTATTCATACTTCTGGAAGCTTCTATGAGATGTGGCCATATGGTTGTTATCTTTTTCATGGTTATTTTCATGTGGGTGCCACATTTATATCAGTAAATGTCCCCTTACCTGAAGTCTCCTGAGCAAGCTTCTGGTTTTGTTGAACTAGAGAAGTAACCAGCTCAACAGGACAGGGGAGGAGGCAAACACAGCCACTAATTCACCTGTACTCACTGGATTCCCTGGCCCTCTCTGACCTCTGCCATCACCAAATCCTTCTTTCTGCTGCCCCTGATTACTGCTGTCCTGAAGATCCTTTTGGTAGGCAGAATCTTAGTTTGGCAACCATAACCCCACCCACACGTGTATGCATAATTGCTTCCAGGTTGTCAGTCAAATGCCATCTGGGTGCTTCTGTGAAGGCAGTCTGGGTGTAATTCAGATCCACAATCAATTGATTTGAAGAGAGGGAGTTTATCTTGGGTGGGTCAGACCTAATCAGATGAGCCCTTAACTGATCTAGGCTCTTGGAAAAAATGATTCAAACTTTAAGTTTGCATGTGAGGGAGCTTCTCCTGCTGGCCTCCAGATAGGAGCACTGATCTACTGTGGGAGGGTGAGGAGAGGGCCACATGGGAAGGAATGCAGGTAGCCCCTAGAGCTGGGTGTGGCACCCTACTTCCAGTTAGCAAGGATGTGAGAAATCAGTCTTACAACTGCAAGGAAATGAATTCCACCAGCAACCAGGGAGCTTAGAGGAGAACTTCTAGACTCAGATAGATTGCAGGCCTGGCACACATAGTCATTTCAGCCTTGTGAGACCTGGAGTAGACAACCCAGCTACACTGCGTTACATGGTTGACCTGAGGATTCTGCAGGATAACAAATTTGTGTGTGTGTGTGTTTAAAGAGCAACATCTGTGGGAATTTATGACATAGCAATAGTCATTGAAGTCAGCCTCTCTTAGGTCTCTCACCTGCACATCATACTGGGCCATGAGGACGGCAAAGCTGCTGAGGTGGGTGCATTGGCAGGTGGTGCTGGTGTCTCTGGAGCCCACCATCTTGCAGCCTTTGGTGGACCAGTGACCACTTCCATTCTGGCCATGATCCCAGAAGACACAGAGCACCTGCTGCCTTGGCCCAGGGGTCTCTGACTGTAGGAACAGGGCACAGGTGTGAGCTGGTGGTTTTGGTGCCCAGAAATGCTGACCCTTGCTTGTGAAGGGCCTCCCTGGGGAGATGGGAGAGCCCCTTGAGCCCCAAGACTGTGACAAGACTCAGGCCTCTTCCACACCCACAGCCCCACCCTGCAGAACTCACATGCTCAAAGACAAAGGTGACTGGGGAGCTGAGGTTCTGGGTGTCATTGTTGCTCACAAAGACAGAGATGACATCTGAGAGCAGGATGGGGGAGACCCCCTGAGGCAAGCCTATGTGCGTCTCATGCAGAACTTCTGGTCCCTCAGTCTCCAGGATGAGGGGGGCCCCTGCCAGCAACTTGGCCATCCCTGGAGTAGAGATAAGGCCCACCACAGAAGGGCCTGCAGGGCAGGGTTAAGGTTGACATTTGGGGTGCCCAATAGGACCCCTTCTTCTTCAGGTAGAATATTTCCTTGTGGACTCACCATAGCCCTCACTTTCCTCTAGACTTCAATTTTCCATTTGCCCCATCCTTGGGCATCTTGTCCCACTGTGAAGCCTCAGTGACCTTCTCCCCATCTCAGCCATTACCTGAGTCTCTGGATTCCTGAATTGTATCCCACTTCAGCAGCATCTTTGCTTTATTGACACTCAAGCTGACATTCCATTGTCCTTTCTCCTTTACCTTCAGGGACAGTTCTGTGAGTTGTGGGAGTTACATAAGGGAGTTAGAGTAGTCACTGCACCTGCAATGGCTGCTATAATACCCTATCATATATATTTAATATATTATATAAATAATCTATATAAAATATCTATATATTACATAACATCATATTTATATATTAAATAATATATATTATTTATATATAATGGTCTTATTTGGCACACATAATAACAATATTACACATAATGTTTGGTATACATAATAATAGCATATATATCTTATGGATTTACAAAGAATTATGAGAGAATATCATGAACAGCTATTGAACAACTGAAATAACCTAGATGAAATGTAGAAATTCCTAGAGACAAACAAACTTCCAACACTGAATTAATAAGAAATAAAAAGTTAGAACAGACTTGTAACAGGTAAATAGATTGAACCAGTAATCAAAAACTTCTCAAAATATAAAGCTCATAACTGATGGTTTCATTGGTGAATTCCACCAGCCATTTATGAAAGAATTAATACTAATCCTTTGTAAAATGCTCCATAAAATAGAAGAGGAACACTAAGTAATTCTATGACTTAGAATTCTATTCTAAGTAGTCACCATTACCCTGAGAACAAAGTCAAGTAAAGACATCACAAGAAAATAAAACTGTAGACCAATATCTCTCATATACAGAGATGCACAATTATTGGACCAAATATTGGAAATATTTTAATCTAACAAAGCTCAACATATGTACATGGAAAACTACAAATAGTATCAAGAAAAAATTTAAACCATAAATAAATCAAAAGACATTTTGTGTTAATGGATTGGAGATGGCAATAGTCCTCCAAGTGATCTATAGACTAAATTTAAACCATATCAATATTATGAGTTTTATTTATTTCTTTTTACAGAAAGGCAAAAGATCATCTTAAAATTCATAGGGCATTGCAAGAGTCCCAAACACTCAAAGCTACCTTAGAAATAAAAAACAAATCTGGAAGATTCACAGTCCCTGATTTCAGAGGTACTGCCAACGTAAAGTAATCAGAGCAATATGGTACTGAGTTCCAGTCAAGATGGCAAAGTAGGTAAACACTCTACTCACCATGACCACATCAAAATCACTTCTAAATTACAAAACAATCAACTTGTAACCCTGAGAAGACTAGCTGTAGAGAGGTCCTGTAACCAAGGAAATAAAGAAAAAGCCACATCAAGACTGGTTGGGGGTGGAGACAAGTTGGCTGCACACTCAGTACAGCAGCTGAGAACTCAGATAGATGTCTCAGCCGCAGAGATCCCCCCTTAAAAAGAAGGAGTCCAAGCCCCACACTGGGCTCCCAAGTCAGAAGTACCAGTGCTGGGTAGAAAAGCCCCCATATCTGGCGGTGAGAATCAGTAGAAATTCTGTTCACCTGGGTGAGATGAACGGTTGTTGGAAAGCCAGGTGTCCTCTTAAAGGGTCTGCACACAGACTCACATACTCACAGGCACTTTTACCCTGGGCTCTGGCAGAGGGAGAGAGGCTCAGGGGCACCAGAGACATACAGGGAGAAACTGAGTTGTATGGCCTCAGGGCCAGGGCTGGAAGGAGAGCTTCCATTGTCTGAATGTTGAGTCTTCCTCCCACACAGCTGGCAGGCAAGCACCACCTTTTCTGTGTTGAGCCCTTCCCCCACACGACCAAATCTGAATCTGCATTGGCCTGGTGAACATCACTCACCCCACCTTGAGGATTCCCTGAAACCCTTCCCCACCCAACTCAGGCCCCACCAAAGGCTCTTTCAGCAGCAAAAAGCTGGCATATACCCATGTACTGCTGGAGGCTGCTTAGAGGCAGGTAGGCAGCCTTGGCCCATGCTGCAGTCTTTCTTAAAAACTCTCAAAGGTCCACAGGCTCCAGGCAGTCAGTGGCTGGTCTCATTGTGCCCTTGGCCTTTTGATGACTGGCCCCAGGCTCAGCACTGATGCCAAATCTGAATCTGCATTAACCTAATGAACACCACTTGCCCAATCCTGGTGAATCCCTGAGACCCCACCTCACCCAACTCCCACACAGCTAAAGGCTCACTCAGCAGTGGAGCCTTACAGGCAGCTGGAAAGTAGCAGCAGTCCTTGGTAGCCTGTGGCCTTTTCTGAGAGCCCCCAGGCTTGGTACAGATGGCAGCTTGTCTCAGTTCACAGACCTCCTCCACAGGACTCCAGGTTCAGCACAAGCAGCTACCAGTCATGGATAGATTTGTAGCTCCTACAAGATGGCCCTGTGCTGATCACTGGCCCCAGAACCAACATACCTGGTAGCTGACTTCAGACTACAACAGAGCAGTACCTGATTAGCTCCACAAGTGGCACAACCAAAGGGTGGTTTCCACAGACACCAGAGCCCCACTGGTGCAAATTCCTCACCATGGAATCAGCCCCTACCCAACAGTTCATACACAGTAGTTATGGACAGTCCTCACAGCCAGTCAGCCTGAGGGTCAACCCTACCCACTGATGTGCCAACAGCAATCAAAAGTCAACTACAATAGGAAGGCACATTCAGCTCACACAAGAGACACTCCAAGAGCACTGGGCTCAAGAAATCAGGGAGACTGCACCATTGGGACTCACAGGTCACCTGCTACAGAAGGCCACCCTGACAAGTCTGAGAGACATAGCAGATCTACCTAATACATAGAAGCAAACAGAGAAATAACCAAAATGAGGAGACAAAGAAACTTCTCACAAATGAAATAAGAAGAGAAAACTACACAAAAGAACTAAACAAAATGGAGGCACAACTCAAAATGGATCAGAGGCCTAAATATAAGATGTGAAACAATAAGTGACATACAAGAAAACATAAGTATTAATCTTATCGGCTTTGGTCTTAGAGAAGATTTTATGAAGTTGACCCCAAAAGCAAGAAGAGGAAAAGCAAAAATACATGAATGCGATTGTATTAAATAAAATGCTCTACACAGCAAATGAAACCATCAACAAAACAAAGAGACAACCTATGGATTTGGACAAGATATTTGCTAGTGATACATTTGATAAGGGGTTAATATCCAAAATTTATGAAGAACTCATACAACTCAAAGCCAAAACAAAACAAATAATCCAATTAAGAAATGGTCAGAGAATGTGACAGACATTTCTCCAGTGAGGACTTATAGATGGTAAACTGACATATGAAAAGGTGCTCAACATCACTAATCATCAGAGAAATGCAAATGAAAACCACAATGAGATACCACCTCACACTTGTCAGAATGGCTATCATCAATAAGTCAAAAATCAGTAAGTTTTGTGCATTGTTGGTGGTACAATTGTTACAGCCACTATGGAAAATAGTATAGAAGTTTCTAAAAAATTTCAATAAAACTGCTTTATGACTCAGCAATTCTACTTCTGGGTATTTTTTTGAAGAAATCCAAAGTAATAGTTCAAAAAGATAGATGGACCACTGTATTCATTGCGATATTATTGACAATAGCCAACATATGAAAGCAGCTGAAGTGCCCATCAGTACATGAATAAAGAGGAGGTCATACATATACACCCTGGAATCTTATTCGGCCACAGAAAAAAAAAATCTTGCCATTTGTGGCAATGTGGGTGGACCTAGAGGATTTTGTGCTAAATCAGATGAATCAAACAGAGCAAGACAAATGCTATGTGGCTTTACTTTAATGTGGAATCTCAAGGTCAAAATAAACAAACCAGAATATGACTCATGGATACACAGAATAAACTGATGGTTGCTGCATGGGGAGAGGTCTAATTAAGGGACTGGGTAAAAAAGAAAAAGGGGGATTAAGAAGTACAAATTGGTAGTTACAAAATAGTCACAGGAATGTAAAGTATAGCACAGGGAATATAGTTAATAATATTTTAATAACTATGTATGTTGCCAGGTGGGTACTGGACTTATCAGGGGATCACTTCGTAAATTATATAAATGTCTAACCACTATGCTGTACACATGAAAATAATAAGAAATAACTTCCGCCAAGATGGAGGCATAGGTGGACATCTGTGTCTTCTCACACAACTAAGTTTAGAGACAACTAAATATTAGCAACAGAAAACACAGCCAGAACACAGAAAATTGAACTTTTCGGAAGTCTGTTAAAAACAAATTCTTCAGTCTGACCAGTAAGGGGCAAAACCAGCAGCTGGTGGAGCGGGGTAGCACAGAAAAACTCGGTCAGATGGACTCAGGCGCACGGAATCCAGGTGCAGGGTTGGACCTAGTGAGCGACTGAGTGAGCGACCAAGCGAGGGGAAACAGCGAGGGAGCAGGGCTGTGGGTTGACTGTGGTTGCGCATTTGTGTGTAGATAGACAAGCGAGGGAGTGGGCGATTGGACAGGGACCCAGCGGGTCCCCGCTGCAAGTGTCAGGGAGGGTGCCACCACTTCCCTGCTCTGACCCCACTTCCACATACAGCATCATAACCCAGCGACTCTAAGTGGCCCGGCCATGGTGAACCACCTAAGGCTCTGCTCCTCACCCAGCAGTGCAAAACAGCAGAGGGTACCGCCATTTCCCCGCTCTGACCACGCCTCCACATACAGCGTCACAACCCAGCAACCTGGGAGTCCAAGGCTCCTTTCCTCACACTTAAAGGGCGCGAACAGACCAAAAATGGCTCAAGAAGATCTCAAAGCCCCAGAGCCTATAAATCTAAGCAATGAAGAAATAGCAAAACTCTCAGACGCACAGTTTAAAACACTGGTGATCAGAATCCTCACAGAACTGGTTGATTATAGCCACAAATTAGACAAATATATGAAGGTGAAACTAACTGAAATGAATAGAATTGCACAGGAAACCAATAGCAATGAAAAGGAAACTGGGACTCAAATCAATGGAGTGGACCAGAAGAAAGCAAATAATGGCCAAACAGAAAAGAGTGAAGAAGCAAGAATTCAAAGAAATGAGGAGAGTCTTAGGAACCTCCAGGACATCTCTAAATGCTCCAACATCCGAATTATAGGGGTACTAGAAGGGGGAAAGGCACAGACACCAGTGGAAAACTTATTTGAACAAATAATAAAGGAGAATTTCCCCAATCTGGCAAAGGCAATAGACTTCCAGGAAACCCAGGAAACTCAGAGAGTACCAAAGAAGTTGGACCCAAGAAGGAACACACCAAGGCACATCATAATTACATTAGCTAAAATTAAAATGAAGGAGACAATCCTAGAAGCAGCAAGAGATAAGGGGATAGTCACCTACAAAGGAGTCCCCATCAGACTGTCAGCGGATTTCTCAAAAGAGACCTTACAGGCAAGAAGGGGCTGGAAAGAAGTATTCCAAGTCATGAAATCCAAAGACCTACAACCAAGATTGCTCTATCCAGCAAAACTTTCATTTAGAATGGAAGGACAGATAAAGTGCTTCTCAGATAAGATCAAATTCAAGGAGTTCATCATCACCAAGCCCTTATTATATGAAGTGTTAAAGGGACTTATTGAAGAAAAAGAAGTTAAAGAAACATGAACAGTGAAAGGACAACAAACTCACAGTTATTAATAACCACACCTAAAACAAAAGCAAACTAAAAGGACAGCTAGATCAGGAGTGGAAACATAGAAATGAAGATCTCAAGGAGGGTTAGCAACAGGGGAGTGGGAGGAGGAGAAGGGGGGAGAAGGTACAGAAAAATAAGTAGCATAGACAGTAGATAGAAAATAGATGGGGGGCAAGAATAGCATGGGAAATATAGAGTCTAAACAACTTGAGACACATGGTCATAAACTAAAGGGTGGGTTATGGTGGGGACGGGGGGTAGGGTGGAAGGGAATGAAGGGGGGAATAGAACAACTGTAACAGCATAATCAATAAAAAATTTTTAAAAATATGTATTAACAAAAACTAAAAAAAATAAATAAAACAGAAAAAAGAAAATAATAAGAAATAATATTGAATGTCAATTCTAATTTAAAAAATAATAAATAAATAAATAAATAAATAAATAAATAAATAAATAAATATTATATTTAAACTAAAAAAAAGAAACCAGTATGATACTGGCATAAGGATAGACATATAGACCATCAAAATGGAATTGAGAGTCTAGAAACAAACTCACTTGTCTATGTTCAATTAATTTTCAACCTGAGGTGCCAAAATCCTTCACTGTAGAAAGAGTAGCTTCTTCTACAAATGGTGCTTGGCCACCTGGTTATCCATAGATACAAAAAGAAGTTGGCATTTTACCTCATTCATTAAACAAAAAGTGAACTTAAAATGAGTCAAAGACTTATATTTAAGAGCTAAAACTAGAACAATTAGGAAAAAATGTAAGGGCAAATATTCATGGTGTTGAATTTGGAAATGGATTCTTAGATATGATACCACATGTACACACAAGAAAAAAATAGATAAAGTGGACTTCATCATACCCAAAGCATCTGTTCATTAGTGAAGATGGTGAAGAACATGAAAAGACCACCTTTGGAGTGGCACAGAAGCTGCAAATCATGTATCTTATAGGATATCCTCTTAGAATATATTGCAAATGCTTACAGCTCAACAATCAAAATTTAAAAATAGGCAAAGGACTCGAATAGATGTTTATCTAAAACACATACTCAAATGTTCAAAAATGACAGGTAAAAATGTTAAACAGCATTAGTCATTAGGGAAATGCAAAACAAAACCATAATGAGATGTCACCTGACATACACTAGAAAAGCCATAAAACAAAACAAAACAAAACAAAACAAAACAAAATGGAAATAACAAGTGTTTCTGATGATATGAAAACCCTAGTAAATTGCTGGTGGGAATGTAAATGGAAGAGGCATTTTGGAAAAATAGTTTTGTGGTTCCTCAAAAAGTTGAATGTAGAATTACCACATCACTTAGAAATTTCATTCTAAGTTATGTACCCTAAAGAGCTGAAAATGTTATTCAGACAAAACTTGTACACCAATATTCATATTAGCATTATTCACAATACTCAAAAGGAGGCAACAACCTACATGTCTATTAATAGATGAATGGATAAACAAATGTGGTATATCCATATCTAATGGAATATTATTCAACCACAAAAAGGAAAGAAATATGATACTGTGAACCCTGAGTAACCAAAGACACCTATTAAGAAGGGCTCCTGGTAGCTAACTGGGCTCAAATTAAAGAAAAGCAGAAGCCTAGCAGCCTTTCCTGCACCGGGCCTCTCAGGCGAACTGTACATCACAGACTTGTCTCTATGCTAAAGGGCCTGTCTGTACTCTAAAATGCCTGCCATCTGAGCCAGCCCTTATAGAGGATTCCTGGAATCCTATTTCAACCAATAGGATTGAGGATTCCCCATCCAGCCAAGGCTGCCCAGTGGCAACCAATCAGACAGTCTCTATTCTGACCAATCAGGAAAGTACCCTTTAGATCAATCAAACTGTATGCATTTGACATCATCATTTGCATGAGAATGGAACAATCAGAAACTGGGGGTGAGGACTTTTGTCCATATAAGCTGCTTCGTTTCCTGGGCTGTGTCTCCCGGGCTGTGCTGAAACACTGAAGGTGTCTCACTAAAGTGTAGTAAAGCAGGCCTGCGCTTCATGGAGCAGAGCTGAGCAGAGTAGAGCGGACTGCTGAGGAGCAGAAGAGAGGTTTAGCTGGAGAGGGCCTGTCCTTCAGCAGTTCTGTTTTCACAGCCTTGCTGTACCACAACTGAACTATTTTGCACTGAGTACTTTTCTTCTTTACCACACCCCAAATTGGGGATTCCTGTCTGTGTCTGAATTGGTGCCAAGTATCATCTGCTGACAATACATGCTACCACACAGATGAACCTTGAAAACATTCTTAGGCAAAAGAAGCTAAATTATAGGGTAATGTACCTAATGATTTGATTTATATGAAATGTTCCAAATAGGCAAAACAGGTAAGTGGTTGCCAGGGGCTGGAGGAGGAAGAAATGAGGAGCAACTCCTTAGTGGGTACTGTGTTTGGCTTTGAGTGATGAAAATATGTTAGATGAAGAGGTGATGATTATAACTCCAAATGTACTAAATGCCACTGAATTGTATAATTGGTTAAAATGGTGACCTTTATGTTGTGTGAATTTTACCTCAATAAGACAAATCATTTAAAATATCAAGTAATATTAAATATATATTCTTTAAAATAAAGTAAATTATTCTCTTTTGAAGCCTTTTATATTTTAAATTCTTCATTATCTTTATTTCATCTGTTCATAATTAATTTTATAAGGAAAATATATTATTTATAAATGTATTCATTTCTCTTTTATTGAGTTATAACTGACATTACTTTCAGATGTTCAGATGGTTCAACACGTGTATATTGCAAAATGATCACCACGATAAGTCTAATTAACACCAGTCATTATACATAGTTACTAAATTTTTAAGATTTGCTATAAGGACCTTTAAGATTTACTCATGTAGATGCTTTCCTATATGTAATACAAAGTTATTAACTATAGTTGCCATGCTGTGTATTTCATATCCCCATGACTTATTTATTATGTGACTGGAAGTTTGTAGCCTATGACTCCTTTCATCCCTGTCAACCACCTCTCACCCCCTGCCTCTAGCAACCACCAGTCTGGTCTCTGTATCTATGAGTTTGTTTTTTAGATTCCACATACAAGTGATATACAGTATTTGTTTCTGTCTGACTTATTTCACTTTGCACAATTTATTCATTTCTTTTCAAGCTTTTATTTTAATTTATTTATGAGAATAACACTGAGATACAAGTGTGGTTACAAAGCTGCTCTGAGGTTGGAATGAGGTGGAGAATGGACAGAGCAGAGCCAGGGGCAGAAGGCCTGGTACTTACCTGTGCCTCCAGCTGCATTAAAGGTCAGTGACTCATTGGGTGGGATCTTGCTCAGCTCTCTGAAGACATGCTCCATGTTGAAGAGCAGGTTAGTGGCCACAGAGTGCTGCTCTGAGCGGGCACAGGTCTTCAGGTCTTCAGGGTTCTCCAGTAGGCCATCAACCACCTGTATGACGTTCTTGAGTGGGGAGTGGGGAGATGGGGACACAGAACCAGTGGATATTGCACCAGAGGAGCTACAGGAAGACTCTACCGACTCGGCTACAGAAAACCAATTATTTGGAGATTTAAATGGTACCAGATGGGATTCCCTGAGTCTTCGCCCCTGCAATCCAGTCATTCAGAGGTCAGCCCTGTTCATGAATGCCAATGTTGATATAAACCCAAAGGGCAGGAACAGCGAGAAGAAAGATGCTAATCTGTGCATGTGGTGTCTAACAGTGAGTACAAACTCTGTGTGTCTGCTCTTCCCACCCACTCAGGAGAGATGGGGACTCAGAGTAGGGTACCAGTGTGTTGGGGTCTGTCTCTTCCCAAACCAAGGTTTCCCCAGTCCTCTATGAGATGCCTCCACCTGCCTCCCTTGGGTTCTGTCCTTACCTGGATGGTGTCCATAGCCAAGGATGATGTGAAGTCTCTACCCAAATCATCAATTTCTTTTAAGAATCGGGAATAGCTCTGGGGCAAGGGGAGATGAGATGGTCAGAGAGACTCCCAGGTGGATAGGGGAACTTGGGGAAACTAGGTGGGTGCTGCAGGAAACATGGAGGTAGTTCCTGCCTCTTGGTTTCTGCTTGAGCCACTCACCTTGCTGTTGATTCTAGGGGGTGCAGACCAGTTGGGGAAGGATGCCCCTGGTAGGGAGAGAACAACAATTTATTTGGTGTGTGTGTGTGTGTGTGTGTGTGTGTGTGTGTGTGTGTGTTGGGGGTGAAGTCTATTGACGGGTCTGGCAAGGTGCCTTCCCAGATTGTCATTTGGTAATTCACAGACCCTGGTTTGGGAGCATCTGGAAGAAACGCTTGTCCTCCATTTCCTCCCCACTCATTAGTGGGCCCCTTTTTTTATTCACATGAAGGCCTCATAGCGTAGTAATGTGGTAGCCTAGATGCTCTGTTGTCTGGAAGTTGATGGAATCAGCCTGAGTCCTACCTGTCTGCCACCCCCAGTACCCTCAGCTTTCCTGGGAAGCTCCCAGTTGGGGTGGGGGACAGAGACACAGTGGGACTTCTTGAGAACTGACTGGAAAGAAAATGCTGTATCTCACTAGCAGGATCCATTCTGGGTTCCCATAATAGCCTTTGTCCTAATTCCTAAAGGCTGGCTGCTCACTGGCTGAGTTCTTCTTGGATTCCCATTGATGCTGTCAGGGCAGCAGTTCTCCCTCAATGCCAACCCTGAGAAATCTTGAGAGAGATGGTCCAAGAACCATCCCTGAGGCAGGCCCTCCACAGATGAGACTATAGTACAGGGGGAGAATGAAGAAGTTGCTGGACAACACAGGGCCACCCAGACAGTGACACCAAGTCCTGGTTGGTCACTGGGGGCTGATGTCCAGCCAGGCATCCCTGGTGCCTTTCTCTCATTCCTAAGAAGGCATCCTCTAGACTGGCAGGGAGTGGTGAGAATCCATGTCTGAGGAAGACCAGCAGAGGTGAGGGTTGTCTGGCTGAAGAGGGGAGCGGGTGTGATGAGTGAGGAGTGGCAGACATTTTCTGTGCCCACCAGGGACACAGACCTCTGTACCCCCATTTGTGAGGTAGTTGTCCCCGATGGTGCCCTCTGTTGTAGCCTGGTTCAGATGGTAACCTCTTCCGTTTATGTGACTCTTCAAGCTTGTGTGTGTGTGGTGGGGTTCGTGTCATCCTTCCCAAACCGGGCCCAACATTCTTCTGGGTCCTCGTCATCTGGGTTGTCCTTACATGGTGAGCTGAAATTACTGGGGGGTGGTTCAAAGGCATCACTTAGAGATAGATGGAGTCTGAGCAGCTGAGAAGTGGGGCCAGGGTGTGGGGGTTGTTGGTTGGGGACAGGGCTGGCCAGGAAAGATGAGCCCACCCTAGAACCTCCACTCCCATGTTTCTGGACAAACTTACTGGGTCTGTCAGAAGCCAGGAGGCCTGAGAGCCTGTCTGGTGTGGCCGAGCTCACATGTGCTGCAGTGGGGGAAGGTCTCTGTCTGGCAGTCACTGGTGATGGTGGAGAGGATGGATATTGTGCTGGAACACAACATACTATGAGCTCCTGAAGTCTTGGATGTCATCCCTCTCTTGATTTATGGAAATAAGATGCCAGAAAGGCAGGAGGGATCCTTTGAACTTCCAGAAATGACTCTCTGTGGAGGGTTTTGGGCCTTGGATTTCAGAGAGGGCAGGTGACCAAGTAGGACAGCCCTCTTATGTTGTGGAAAGTGGGCCAAATGACCCAAAACTTCACAGACAAGCAGGTGGAAAACACAGGGAGGTTCTTACCTTGACATGTGTTCTCATTTTCATTCCTGAACTCTGTTTTTCCAGAATGAGGCCTATATCCCGAGTTGCACCTGCAGTAATAGCTTCCCTCTGTGTTCTGGCAGTTGGCAAATTTTCCACAGGACACCACTGAGGGTGGTTCACATTCATTAATGTCTGGAACACAAGAAAATAAAGGGTCACCTTCCAAAATATGAAGTATCCTAATATCACTCCCCCTCTTGTTTCATAAAAATAAGATTCCAGGTTGGCAGGAGGGACATTCTGAACATCTGGAAGTGGCACTCTGTGGAGGGTTCTGAGCCTTGGGGTTCAGAGAGGGTAGATGACCAGGTAGGTGCTCAGAATGGCACTCTGATGACCGAAGAAAGTGGGGCAATGGGCCCCAAACTGCAGGGACAGGGAGATAGAGGATGCGGGGTCATTCTTATTTTGACACGTGTTCTAAATCTCATGGGGCAAATACATTGCCCCAGAAAGAAGCTTGTATTCTGGGTCACACATGCAGTAGTAGCTCCCCTCCATGTTCTGGCAGGCTGCCAGTTTTCCACAGGACACTGTCAAGGGTTGTCTGCACTTATTGATGTCTGAAACAAAATGGGGCAAAGGGTTACCTCCCAATGGTGTAAGATCCCATAAGACAGGCCCTGGTGCCCAGCCAGAAACTGTCATGGGGACTGAATAGTACACAGGTCCAGGGTGGCACTCCTGGGGCTGGGCTGGGCTGGGCAGAGCCAGCTGCTGCAGAGCCCACTGACCTCTCTGTTCATATGTACTCTCTGACTGCTCTGAGAGCACCTAGACTCAAACACTCTGTTGTGTCATGATGGGGCAGGAAGGAGGGCTGCATCCCCCATTCCAGGACTTGAGAGGTAGATGGAGGCACTGCCTCAGGCTACAAACGCTCCACTGTGGTGCTGTTTGCACCACTGGAGACCTGGGAGTGGCCTCTAGTCAGAGAGAGTGTGGCAGTGGAGGCCACTCTCAGTGCTGAGATCATGGAGGGGGTCATGGCTAGGCACTGTCCAGGGTGATATTATCATTCACACCTGAAGATAGAGCCAGGTGTCTGGCCTCTGCCCATTGAGGTCTCCACCTCCCATTACTCAGAGTGGCCCAAGGAAACTGCACCCTCCTTGTCAGGCCCTCTCCCAGCTCACAATGTCTGCCCTTTGGAAGATGCCCCAGGATGTTTTTCTCAGGGGAATCTTCTTGTCTCTACCTCTGGAGGAAGTTCCCCCTTATCAGAGCCCATCATGGGGGTGAAATGAGGAAGCAGCACAAAGCTGTTCACAGCTGAGTCACTACAGTGTTTTCTGGCATCTTATCTCCTTGTTCTCTGAGCCTGAGACAGAAAGAGATGCCAATGACCTAGGTCCCCTTTGAGTAGCTCAGGGACTCACTGAGCAGGGGCTGGACACTGTTGGATAAAAACAATGGCTTAATGAGAACCACATACACAAGAATGAATCAAAATGCAGATGCAGGAAACCAAAGACTTTGGAACCTGATAGGACTCTCATCTGGTCTCTTTCAGATCAAAGTTTCTTCTTTGAACATGTGGGTTTTCCTTCTAAGGTCCCTGGCCTAGTCTGTGGGTGTCAGCACTAGGTCAGAGAAAAAGCAGGAGGGATGCTTCTGCTCTTGGTGAAATGGCGACAATGGCTGGAGGCCTGTCTTCCAGGTTAAGGGTGTGGGGTAGAGAGGTGTGAGAAACAGCTGAAACTAGGTGTGTGGCTCTGGAAGATATGACAATGGGAAATTACTCAACCTGACAAGTGTGCTCCCAGCAAGGAGCTGGGATCCAGTTACAGTAGCAGCAGGATCTCTTCCATGTCCACTGAGTCTACAAATTTTCATGAGACAACCACATGTGAATGCACAAAGGACTTTTTAGGAATACCTGCAGGGTCATGGGTGGAGTGGACATTACTCAACATCTTTTTCTTTCCCCTAATAAGATGTACTTTTCACTCAATATTAAATACCATATAGATACTTAGAAAACAAAGAAAATGCAAAAACAACAAAGAAAATCACCTATAAGTTCACTACACAGACTACTGGGAAATTTTAGGTATTTTTAAAATTGTTTAAAACACAAATGAGTGTTTTTAAATTATCAATAAACATGCATCTAAGACTATTTTGAGTAGATGAAGAAAATTTCTTGTTGTAAAAATCATATAATTTTTTCCCCTTGTATACTGTGGTAAAATTCACACAGCATAAATTTACTATCTTAACCATTTTAAGGATACTTTCCTTTCTTGATCTTGTGTTATTGAAGAATAAAAACTCCAGTTTTAGTCCTGGATCTAGGTTCTACCACCTTATTAATTGTGTGATTTTGGATAATTTACTCAATCCCTTTGCTACAAATTATGATATTTTAAAAAACAATACTACCATGAAACCATAAGTGTCCTAGAATAAAACATAGGAGCTGAACTCCTTGACATTAGACTTGGCAAAAATTTTTTGGATTTGACATCAAAAGCAAAGGCAACAAAAGCAAAAATAAATAAATGGGGTTACATTAACCAAAAAAGCTACTGTATAGCAAAGGCAACCATCAAGATAAAACCTACAATTTGAGAGAAAAATGTTTGCAAATCACACAGCTGATAAGTGGTTAACATCAAAATACTATATAAAGGACTCAGAACTCAACAGAACAACAACAACAAAACACTATGCAATCTAGTTTAAAAATGGGGAGTGGATTTGATAGACTATTCATGAAAAACTGCCCACGTCCCTCTTTTTTCCCAGCCCTGCCTTCTCTCTTATCCTTGACAAAGTGCTCCTGTGCTGCTCTCAGAGATGAGGGCTCTGGATGCCCCACAACCTCCCGCCCACTCAACAATTTCTGTATGCCCTCCAATCCCCCACCCAAGTCTCTGTACCATTGCAAGTCTCCGTGAGTTTGGTGATGATCTCCCCAGATGAAGAGCTGAATCCCGAAAGACAGCGACAGGCAGTGGCATTGACACATGTGGAGTGCGGGGGACACCATGGAGCACAGTCTTTGGGGACAGAGGCTGTGGGGATGGAGACCATGGTCAGAAGGCCCAAGAAATGGAGGAAGTCAGCTACCAACTGGGGGTCCAAAAGGAGAAGGGTGTAGGGAGGGAGTGATGCTACCATTGGATTTGGAAGAGCTCAGAAAATTCTAGACATTTATGGAGGAAGAAATGCTTCTGTTAATTCCAGAAGACCATCTCTGGGTCCAACTTGTGGAGTAAGCCTCCTCTCCCCACTTGTTGGTGAGAGGACCCAGACCTCAACAAGCACTCCTTGGTTTAAGTCACCGGGCCTGGCTGGGAAAACTCACCTTTCAGGTTTTCCTCCGCAGCAGTCAATGTCAAAAACAGCTGCAAAATGAGTCCTGGGACAGATAGACAGATGATAAAGATAGGAAAGTGGAACTTGTTTCAACCCTTGTCCACCTGTCCATTGCCACCTGGGCAGGTGGCTCTAGCCCTGCAGCCCACAGCTTTCTGACAGCTTCTCTGAGGTTTTTACACTTGGAATCAAGGACTCAGTCTTTCCCCTCCATTTCCTGGGACTCCCCAAGGAGTCAGTCATTGACAGTCACAGCCCTCAGGGAACTTCAGGTGCCACAGGTAATGGGACAGAACATACACACAGCTGATGACAGGGACACATCTTAGAAACCCCAACCTCTCCCAATGGAGGATGTACATTTTACAGGAGGAAGAAAGTCCTCATATTGGTTTGCCTTCTACAGTGTCCACATACGTTGTTCTTTGGCAATGGCAGAAATCTGCTTTGTGAAGACCTCACTCTCTCCTCCCTGGCAAGTAGGTGCCATTTCACATGGAGGCATCCACCCTATGGGTGACTGTGGTGGCCTCGATGCTCTGTTGTTCAGATGTGGGTGGAAGTGGCCTGAGTTCTCCCTGTTTTTCAGCCCCTGTGCCCTTGCTTCCCTGTGCAGCTCCCAGGTGGGGTGGGGACATCATGGTTACCTATGGCCTAGCCTGAGGATTTGGACAAAGGCCAGGATGGGCTTCCAGGGAACCAAGAGCAGGAGGAATGCTACATCCTCTGAGCAGTACAAATCTTGGCTCCCAGTGATGGCCTTTGTCCTCCCTCCTCCAAGCCATCCTGAATTCTCCGCGGGACTTCAGTGTTGTTGGCAGAACCAAGCTCACATCCATGCAAACTCTGACACTCCAGCCCCATGGAGCTGGGTCAGGACCCACCCGTGAGCCCAATTCCTCAAAGGGCTTGCAGGAAGGAGTGAGGAGAATAAAGATGATGCCAGATAAACCTGACCCACCCAGACAGTGGAAGATTCCAGCCTGTGGTGGACAATGAAGGTTGGTGTCCTGTCCAGGGCGGTCAAAATGCCTCTTCTAACCCCCACAAAGGCATCCCTTGGACTGGCAGGAAGTGGTGAGAATCCACTTTTGAGCAAGGCCAGTGGTAGGTGAGGGCTGGATGACTTGAGAGGAGAGCAGGGTCTGATTGGTGAAGGGTGGCAGCTGTTTCTATCATCTGGCTCCTTGGTTTCCCACCAGAGACAAAAACATGTAGGTCCTGCTGAGGGGAACTCAGCCTCCATCATCTGTCCCCCAGTGGTCTGGGCCCCCAGGTGGCCTGGGTTGCCCTCTACAGGAGAGAGTTGGGCATGGAGCAATGGTGTCCAATTATGTCCTTTCTTTCAATCTCATCAAGATAGGAGCCTCTTCGTTTTATCCAGCTTTCCAAGTATGTGTGGGGTAGTCTGTGTCACCCTACCTACTCCAGCCATCTGAGTTGCCCACAGGCCCAGGAACTGACTTGTTAGATTAAACAAGAGTGGAGACTTGTTTGGGGAAATAGATGCAGCTGAGCAGCTGAGCAGTGGAGTCGGGTGCAAGGAGGAGTTTCATCAGGTGTGGGCGTTGACTAGGGCAAGGCCAGCTGGGGAACATGGACCTGCCCTTGATTCTTTCCACTCCCACATTTCTGAACAGGGCCCTTTAAGGCCTGTGGATTCTGAGAGTGCTCTTGGGGTGGCTGAATCCATGCAGACTCTAGTGAGGGAAAGTCTCAGCCTGGCAGTCACTGATGAAGAAGACAAAGATGAATACTGCACTGGAATGCAACACTCTGTGAGCTCTTGAAGCATCTTGAATGACACCTTTTTCTTTGAGTTATGAAAATAAGATATCAGGTGGTAACAAGAGGATGTTCCAAAATTGTCTAAGTGGCATTTGGTGGGGGAGTTCAGAGTCTTGGGATTCAGAGAGGGTGAGTGACCTAGTAGGGGCCCAGGCTACCCCCCCGCCATGGCCTGGAGAAAGGACTGAGAATCCCAAACCTGATGAATGAGGAGAAGGAAGACACAGAGTTATTCTTACCATCACATGGTTTGTGGGGATCAATGTCGAACATTGCCTCAGAAACAGGTCTGTAGTGTGGGTTGCACATACAGTAGCTCTCCATGAAGTCCTTACAGTCTAAATATACTCCACAGGAAACTCTTGAGTGTGGTCCACACTCCTTGATGTCTGGAACACAAGAAGACAAAATGTCACCTCTCAAAGGCATAGGTTCTCACAGGTCAGAGACCCTGGCTTACAGTCTGACCCTGTGATAGGGACGGGACAGAATGCAGGTCCAGGGTGGCACTCCTGGGGCTGGGCTGGGCAGAGTCAGCTGTTCCAGAGCCTGTTGACTCCTCTGCTAATCTTTACTCTCTGGCTGCTCTGAGGGCACCTAGACTCAGACACTCTGCTGTGTCATGATGGGGCTGCATCCATCTTTCCAGGCCTTGAGGGATAGACGGAGGCACTGACTCAAGCTATAAACCTTCCGCTCTTGTACTGTTTGCATCATTGGGTTCTTGAGGGTGGCTTCCAGTCAAGGTGGCAGTGGAATTTGAAGGCCACCCTTAGTGGTGAGGTCATGGAGGGAGTCATGGCTGGGGGCTGACCAGGATGCTGATCATTACACCCTTGAAGACAGAGCCACATGTCAGACCCCTGTCTGTTGACAGCTTCCACCTTTCCATTATTCATAATAGCTCAAGCACACTCCACCCTCCTGGTCAAGCACTCCCCCAGCTCCCAGTGTCAGCCCTTTTGCGGATACCCCAGGATTTCTCAGGGGGCATCTTCCTGTCTCCACCCCTGGAGGAAATTCCTCCTTATCAATGTCCATCACAGATGTGAAATAAACAAGCAGTATGAAGGTGCTCATAGCTAAGTCTAAGGGTGTCTTCTGGCATCTTATCTCTCCATGTTCCCCACACATGAGAGAAAGATACCTGTGAACTAGGACCCCTTTGAGTAGCTTAGGAACCCTTGGAGGAGGGGCTGGACACCACTGGCTAACAAAAAAAAAAAACAAACAACAAAACAACTTAATAAGAACCAGGGACACAAGAAATCAAAATCCAGGGACAGAATGTTTAACCTTGTACATTCCAATCAGAGGATCAAAGACTTTGGATCCTGAAGGGACTTGTGGGGTCATGATGAGTCAAGGCAGGCAGCTGGTCTCCCTAGGTCAGAATTTTTTGTCTGAATTCATGGATTTCCCTTTTATGGCCCAGGCTGTGGTGTCAGCACCAGGACATGAGAGGAGCTGGGAGCAACACACATCTGTGGCATTCATATTCAACCCCTACTCCCTTTCAGATGATGGCAGTGGCTGGAGACCTGTCTCTGAGTTTCATGGGGTGGGGTGGAATAGAGTGGGGGATAGGTGGGAACAAGGTATGTGGGATGAGAAGACATGACAGTGGAAAACCCCTGAACCTGACAAGCACCCTCAAAAAAAGCTTAGATCCAGGTACCTTAGTAGTAGCATCTTCTCTCTACATCTGCCCAGTTTACAGTTTCCCATGAGATATGCACATGCAAATGCACAGAGAAACCTTTAGGCAGACCTCTACGATGTTCATGGATGGGCTTGGCAGTAGTTACAACAATGTGGTTTTTTTCCCTGATAAAATTTACTTTTCCACAAACTTTAAATAACACATGGATACTTGGAAAACAAAGAAAATGTAAAAAGAAAGCAGATAATCATACACAAGTCCACTATATAAACTACTAAAAAATTTAGGGGCGTATTTTTCTCATCTCGTTAAACATATTGGGAATATTTTCATTTAGTACCAATAAAGCTGCATCTAAGAGTATATTGAGTAGAGGAAAAGTATTTATTGCTGCAAAATTTTATTTTGCTCCTATTTTATGGTGATTAAACATACATAATTAAATTTTCCACTTGAACCGTTTTTTAAATTTAAATTTAAATTTAAAATTTAAAATTTTTATTTTTACCAGTGTCCTGGTGTTTGAGGATAGAACCAGCAAACTGGAAACCTTTGGCACCACAGACATGATGCCGAGGGAGCTGGAGCCCTTTCTCTCTGCCTCCGTACATTGCGGGGACCAGGACCACTTGCCTGACCCCCCACCAAGAAGAGGAGGGTTGAACCATTTTTAATATTATAATTTCATTTTATGTTCCCATTTTCTTGATGAATAAAACTCCCTCAGTTTTAGATCTTAGTTCTACCACCTTATTCGTTGTAAAATTTTGGCAAGTCACTAAATCTCTTTGAGCCAAAATTTGATAATTTAAGAACTAATGCTACCTTGAAATCATAAAATTCATAGAAGAAAACATAGGTTGGAGTCAGCTCCTGGACATCTGTCTTGGCAATGAATATTTGTATTTGATACAAAAAAAATAAAGACAACAGAAGCAACAATAGACAAGTGATACTACATCAAACTAACAAGCTTTTGTACAGCAAAGAAAACTATCATCACGATGAAAAAGCAACCTGCAATTGGGAGAAATTATTTGCAAACCATGTATCTGATAAGGAGTTAACATGCAAAAATGCATAAAAATTCATACAACTTAATAGCAGGAAACCCAAATAAATGATGGGGGACTCAAAAGTTGAAAATTTTTAGTTTAATGTAATAGTTAATAAGCCTAATAGCTAATGCATGTAAAAAGCTATTGTTTCAGGAACTGCAGGTATGGCCCTCCCTGACTCCAGGAGACCACCAGCGATTGACATTTGTGCTCCTGAAAAGACCATAAACAATCAAGGTGGTATCCAAGTCATTGTGTTCCTGGGAGAGACAGTCCACTGCCCAGAACACAGATGAAAAAAATCACCCAGGATGTGGGGGTGACTACTTCATGAGAGGTTCCCCTGGTGCCACGGACAAGCGTGAATGAATAAATATGGCTGAGACATGCTGGATCTGCTTTGGGGTGGAAGGTGGGCCGTGGCCAGTTTCTTAGGGGAGACAAAGGCCAGCAGAGGCCAGTTTCTCCGAGGAGAAAAAGGCCCCGAGCGCCTTTCTCCATAGCCTTTTATTGGGTTGTAATACACAGGAATACAGGGCGGCAAGGATCAAACAGTAGATAATATTACAAAGAGATCCGAGTCAGTGTCTGTCAGAAAGAGAGTTGCAGAAACTTTGGGAGACATACTCATTTCCTCTTGGACCCTTATCATATGAATGAAAGCACTTTTAGCAGAGCAGATTTCACAAGTTAATCAGCAAGTCTTTGTGATGCCAGATTTTCCCTCAGGACACGCTCTAGCAAGACAAAGAGCTGCACCTCTCCCCAACAGATATTCAGGCTTAAGAGGATTAGAGCCAGGAAGCGCTTTTCCCAGAGAACATGGGGACTCAGGCTTTGACAAAGCTGGGGGGCAAGAGTCCATTGCTCCCTCTTTGTTGAGCACCGCCCCCCCCCCCCCCCCCCCCCCCCCATCCTTCCATGAAGGCCTCCCAAGTGATTGAGTCTGGCTTAGGTTGCCCCCTGCTGTCAGGGGTGTTACCCGTCATTGACTTCCGACCAAGCTTTGGAGGCAGGGAGAGGAACTGAGGCAGCATTCACTACCAGAGACAGGCTTTGTCTCCTGCGGCTGGCATTCCAAAGGTCGTCTCTCACCCTTAGCCACAAGGGGTAGAGATACAATTCCTAAAGTCAGGAAGAGCGGTCTACAACAGCAGGACACAGTTAAAGAAAATGACTGGTTGGCGGATGAAAGGATGTTAGGGAAATTGCCAACTGCAGCTTTTATCTAATTGACCTTTTTTTCTGAATTCCAGACCCCTTACCTACACTCTTCTCCTTATAAAAAGGGTCAGTTGAAAATGAAATTTAAGATGGTCTATTAGGGTACAAACCCGCGGTCTTCTCAGATTGCTGGCCATTCTGAATAAAGTGCCCATAAAGATTCAATCCCTGTCTCTGCTTACTGGGTCTGGTGGTGATAGGCAGCACAAATGCTGGCTTTTCCAGTTTCAAAACAGATTAAAAAATGGGTAGAGGATCTGAATAAACATTTTTCAAAGAAGACATCCAAATAGCCAACAGATACATGAAACAATATTCAACATCACTAATCACTAGACATGCAAATCAAAACCACATAGAGATATCACCTTACACCTGTTAGAATGGCTATTATCAAAAGGACAAGAGAAAACAAGTGTTGGAGAGAACATGAAGAAAAGGGACCTTGGACATTTTTGGTGGGAATTTAAATTGGTGCAGCCCCTATGTAAAACAGTATGGAGGTTCCTCAAAAATGTAAAGATAGAACTACCATGTGATTCATCAATTCTATTTTTGGGTATATGAGAAGTAAAATGACAATCTTGAAAGATATCTGTATCTGCATGTTCATTGCAGCATTATTTACAACAACCAAGATACAAAAACAACCTGAGAGTCCACTGATAGATGAATGGATAATGAATAATAACGAATATCATTCAACCATAAAAAGAAGGAAACTCTGTCTTTTGTGACAATATGGCTGGATCTTGAGGGCATTAGGCTAAGTGAAATGAGTCAGAAAGAAAAATACAAATACAGTATGACCTCAATGTGAAATAAAAAAACCACAAACATATAGATATGGAAAACAAATTGGTGGTTTCCAGAAGTGGGGTGAAATGAGTGAAGGTGGGGAAAAGGATCAACTCTAGCTCTGCCACCCTGGCTCTGTTGTGAGTCTGAGCAGGCAACCATGATTGCGAGTGGACAGGATTCCTGGTGAGTGTGAGCTGGTGGGGGAGCCTGAGGTTGCAGGCTCTCAGTGTTTCTTTCCTCCTGTTGCTCCCCTTATTTTTTCCTTTCTTTGTGCAATGAAAATAATAATTACAATAACAGCAGTAACACAAAAATAGTCACATTTGTTGACAATTTGTTGAAATAGTCACAAATTGTCACATTTGTTGACAATTTCTCTGTTCTCATCTTTAAAAGTTTTTTTCATACAGATAATTATGAAACCTCACACCATTCATGTGGGGTACACAGAGTGATTATTCCCAATATACAGACAAGGAAACTGAGGGGAAGAGAGGAGACACAATTTCCTGAAGGTCAGAGAACCAGTCAGTGGTAAAGCTAGGCTTTGAACCCACACAGCTACTGTGTAAGCTCTCGACATGCTCATACTAATCACAAAATCCTGATTGCCCACTTCCCTCATGCTCTCCTGCCCTGCCTCCTCTCTTTAATCTTCAACTAAAAGCTTCAGTGCTGCTCTCAGGGATGGTGGCTCAGGATGCTCCACAATCTTTCCCAACAGCCTCTTTATGTCCCTCCATCATCCCCAAGCCTTCATACCATAACAACTTTTCAAGTGGCCAGTGAAGACATCTGGAGATGCAGAACTGAATCCCGGAGCGCAGTGACAAGCATGGGCATTGACACATGGAGGGTTCGGAGGGCACCATCGAATGCAGGCTGTGGGAACACAACAGTGAGGATGGAGACCATGGTCAGAAGGCTCAGGGAATGGATAAAGCCATGGACAAATGTGGGCCCAAGACTGGAGAAGGGGAGAGAAAGGAGGGGTGGCTGCTATTGGAAAAGGAGAGAGAAAAACAAAACAAAACTCTGGGTATTTAGGGAGGTAAAAACAGCTTCCCTTATCTCCATCTCTCACCTTAAGGGAAGATGGTATTCCCTTAAGACCATCTCTGAGCCTCACCTGCAGAATAAGCCTTCTTCCCTCCCAACTGGCGAGAGGACCCAGACTGCAGCTTAATATCACCAATGGGGGTCTGTCTGGGCAGACTCACCTGTATCTTTCAGGGCTGCAACAACCCAAGGCAACATCAGCAGCACTGACAGTTCTGGGACAGAAAAAGATGGAGAGATGACAAAGAAAAGAGAATCAATCTCCAATTTCAACTCTTGGCTGCATGGCCATTGCTTTCTGTCGAAGTGGCTCTTGCCCTGCAGTCTACAGCCTTCAGCAGGTTCTTCTTGTACTTTATTCAGAATCAAGGACTCCATCTTTCTCCTCCATTTCTCAAGACCCCTGACACCCCACCCAGCAGAATCAGTCACCAAAAGACACAGTCCTCATGGAACCTCAGGTGGCACAGGTAAGGGGACAGAACATACACACAGCTGCTGAGAGGGATACGTCTTAGAAACCCCAACCTCTCCCACTGGAGGGGGTACATCCTAAAGGAGAAAGTCCTCAGACTGGTGTCTCTTTGCCCAGACCCAGTTTCTTATTTTCTGTCAATGGCACAAATCTGAGGATTTTTTCCAGAATCATTTCCCTTGTTTAACGTACGTTTTCTGGGTATACAAAAAGAACATGGGTATTGGAGTTAGACTCCAAAAGTGCGAGTCCTCCCTCACAGTATCAACAGGAATAGGAGCTTTGGAATCAAGAAAAGGAAGGTGATGAGGGGTGAGGAATGAGAACTAAGGCACCTGCAGGTTGAGCCATTATCTCCTGGGTAAGTGGCCTCTCCAGATAGAGGACTGTGGCTTCTATGCCTCCTTCTATGCAGCTTCCAAATGAGCTCTTGGTCGCCTTATTGTGCACTGAGGGCTCAACTTTTGCCCTTTCTCACCCTGTTCAGTACTGAGAAATGTCACTGAACAGACTGCGTGGTATGAAAACCACTAAGGGTGCAGAGGAATAAGCTCTACCCTACAGGCAATAACTGGGTCACCTATCAGAGTCTGTCATGTCATCCATGTGAGCATGAACCCAATGAAAATTCAGATCTGTGTGCCTTTACAGGAACTTCATTCCATTATTAAAAAATCATGCTCCAAAAATCAGATAATGATAAATATGGCTATTTTTCATAAAAACCAGAAAGCAAATTATAACCAATGGGGACAATCTGTAAGGAATACCTAGCTTACCAGATGACAGTTATTATCTGAAGCATTGAAAGAAATAAAGACTAATCAGACTTCAGCTAACATCATTAATATTGATTTTTACCAATTCACTGTCCTTTACATCCTGCCATGATATGCACACAAAGATAATGTATTTCTTAGCATAATGGAGTTTTCAGATAATTTGATGATCTACTCTTCTGAGACAAACAATATAGGCAGTGTGTTAATTAATCTTGTGGATCAAATTGGCTAAGCCACAGTACCCAGACATCTGGTGAAACACAAGGTGAGATGTTGGTGTGAATATGTTTTTTTTAAAAGATGAGATTAACATTTATATTGGTAGACTTTGAGTAAAGCAGATGACCCTCCGTAATCTGGGTAGGCCTTATCCAATCAGTTAAAGACCTGAACAGAAAAAAGACTGACTTCTTCCTCTGATGGAAGAGAGAATTCTGCTTCCAAATTGCCTTTGGACTTGGATTTGAGATGCAATGTCAATTCTTCCCTGGGTTTTCAGCCTACTGGCATGCCCTGTGGACTTTGAATTTTTCAGCCTCTACTATCTCATGAGCTCATTCTTTATAATAAAGCTCTCTCTGTCTCTCTGTCTCTCTGTCTCTCTACCTCTCTCCCTCCCTTCCTCTCTTCCTCCCTCCCTCTCTCTTGCATGTGCTTTCTCCTATTGATTCTGCCTCTAGAGAAATGACTAATGCAAGGGGTAGAATGAGAAATGTCTGTTAAGTCCTCAAGTATGCCCTAGGAATGAGTTTCACTAACTTTCCCTTTGAGAGTTAATACATATGAGCTAATACCCTTCTCAAAATTTGTTTGTTTTGTTTCTTATAAAAACAGTGAAAAAACAAGCTAGATATCAAGAAAAACAGGCAATATTTTCAAACTGGGTAGAGAGTTCCCAGATAGCTTTAACTGTCTATTGTCACTGTTATAATTCTACCTACCTGGCAGGAGTCTTAGACATCTGTTTCTCATGGTGTAGACACCAGCAAGCCCAGCCATGGAAGACGTCTGATCTTGGTCTGTGTGTGTTAAAAACACTCCCTGTTTTAAGCATGTGTTGTGCCCTGGAGGAGGTGACTTAGGAAACCACTAGTTTGGATGCTTTCTTCCCCAAATCTGCCCAATAATTAACTTCTCAGAGGCACCACTTCTTCTTAAGGATTTGCATAGTTTTACAAGTACTTGTACTAGAAGCCTCCTTGAAGGTGTTTTTTTTTGTGTGTGTGTGCGTGTTTTCTTTTCTGTAACTGTTTTTTAAATTTTTGACACTATTACAGATGTGCCCCATTTCCCCCCTCCCCACTTTCCACCTAGCCACTGCACCCCCCACCAGCCTTCACCACATTGCTGTCTGTGTTATGCATATGTGCTCTTTGCCTATCTTCTAGTCCCTCCACAATCTCCCTCCCGTCTGACAGTTGTCAGTCTGTTCTGTGTATCCATGCCTCTAGTTCTATTTTATTCATCAGTTTATTTTATTCATTAGATTCTATTTATAGGTAAATCATATGGTATTTGTCTTTCTCTAACTGGCTTAATTCACTTAGCATAATAATCTCCAGGTCTATCCATGCTAGCACAAAAGGTAAGAGTTCCTTCTTTTATACAGACACATAGTATTCCACTGTGTAAATGTACCAGGGCTTTTTTATCCACTCATCTGCTGATGGGCACTTGGGCTGTTCCCAGATCTTGGCTATTGTAAACAATGTCGCTAGGAAGATAGTGGGGCATATATTCTTTGTGATTGGTGTTTTGGAATTCTTAGGATATATTCCCAGGATTGAGATTGCTGAGTGTGACTCTTAAATTTCTTGACATAAGAAGATGTGATATTGTGTAATCAAAGACCTCCCCAAATTAATAATCACTCTGCTAGTCTTTTTTGCCTATTTAAGGACCTCAGGTCACAGTGAACAGCATTATCTATTAATAGACATTTTATTGAAGTATAACTGACCTACGACATTACATAGTTTCAGATATACAACATCATAATTCAATAACTGTGTATACTGGGAAATAATAACCACAATGTCTAGTTAACATTCATTACCACATACTTTTACAATTTTTTGTCATGAGAACTTTTAAGATCTACATTGTCAGCAACTTTCAAATATGCAATACTTTCTTACTGACTATAGCCACCATGCTGTACATTAGATTCCATGATTTATTCATTATATAACTGGGATTTTGTATCTTTTCACTGCCTTTATCCATTCCACACCCTGCCCTCCCACACCCAGCTTTTCTCTGGCAATGACCAGGCTGTTTTCTGCATCTAAGAGCTTTTTTTTTTTTTTATTTCACAAAAGAGTCATATGGTATTTGACTTCCTCTGCCTGACTTATTTTTCTAGGCCTAATGATCTGAAGGTCCATCCATGTTGTCATGAATAGCAATATTTCATCCTTTTTATGGTTAAATAATATTCTCATCCATGGATGGACACTTACATTGTTTCTGTGTCTTGGCTATTGTAAATAATGTTGCAGTTAACATTGGAGTGAACATATCTTTTTGAATTAGTATTTTCTTTAGGTTAATACCCAGAAGTTAAATTTCTGGATCATATGGTAATTTTATGTTTACTTTTTTCAGGAACTTTCAAAAGTTAAATTTATGTTGCTATTTTGAAATAACTAATAGGTTGATGTGAAATTGTAGAAACAATGCTAAAAGGTCCTGTGTGCCTTTCATCCAGGTTCCTACAAAGGTTACATTTTTATGTAATGATAGTCAAATACTTAATCCAAGAAATTAATATTAGCACACTGAATGTAAATAGTTCTGTGACATTTTCTCCCATGTGTAGATTCCTATAACTGTCTCTGCAACCAAGATACATAAAGATTCAATCATCACAAAGATCTCTTCCATGTTACACCCACATTCCTAAACCCTGGCAGGTCTAAAACTAAGGTGTTTTTTATTCTTCAACAATACTCCTAACAGTCTTAGATTCACACCTACTGCTATGTTTTAAAAGAAAAGGAAAACAGCCCTGGCTGGTGCGGCTCAGTGGATTGAATGCCAGCCTTTGAACCAAAGTGTTGCCAGTTTGATTCACAGTCAGGGCACATACCTGGGTTGTGGGCTGGGTCCATGTCGGGGGTGCATGAGAGGCAACCACACATTGATGTTTCTCTCCCTCTCTTTCTCCCTCCCTTCCCCTTTCTCTAAAAATAAATAAATAATTTTTAAAAAGATAAGGAAAATATACTTCCCAAATTTGTCTGTAGTCTGTGTGATAAAATTCTGTTAATTTTCTCTGCATTTTTTACATTTTCTGTTATCTATGTGTCCATGTCAATTAGTTGTCTAGGGCTGCTATAACAAAACAAAACAGACCAGACAGCTTGGACAACAGATATTTCTTTTCTCACAGCTGTGGAGTCTAGATGTCCAAGATCTAGGTGATGTCGAGATCTCTGGTGTCTCTTTTCTTAAGAACACTGATCCTATGTAATTAGGGCCCCAGCCTTCTGTCCTCATTTACCTTTACTACTAAAAGACCTCCTCTCCATATATAACTGCAGAGGTTAGAGTTTCAACATATAAATGTAATGGGGACACAATTTACTTAAAATACCATGTTTTATTGAATATTCGTGAAAATTATGGAAAGAGTAAATTTTACATAGGAAGATGTCTTGATTTTCACTTAATTTCTTAAGAATATTTTTTTCTGGATATAGAATTCTGGGTTGACAACATTTTTCTTTCAAAACCTGAATCATGTTGTGCTACTGGCACCCATAATTCCTGATGAGAAATTAGCTGGTGTTTCCATTGTTTTCCCTTTACTGATGAATATCATTACTTTTTCAATCCCTTGCTGCTTTCAAGATTTCTTTCTTTGCCTTTAGTTTTCTAAAGTTTTATTTTGATGTATCTTGGCCTGGATTCCTTTTAGTTTATCCTGTGCAGAGTTTCCTCAGTTTTTGAATGTTTATGTTTTTGTCTTCTGGAAAATTTGAGAAATTTTTATGCATTTTTTCTCTGAATGATTTTTCAGTTCCATGTTCTCTCATTCCCTGTAGAATTTGAAACAGAAATATTAAATATACTTTGTTATAGTTCCACAGGTTCCTGAGATGATGACAATTCTTCTTCTCCTCCTCCTACTTCTTCTTCTTCCTCTTTTTCTTCTTCCTCTTCGTTTTCTTCTTGCCTATTTTATGTCTCTTGTTCAGATTGGGTAAGTTATATTGTTCTGTCTTCAAGATTATTGATTTCTCCCCCTTTGTCTCATTTTGTTATTAAGCAAATTCAGCAGAGTTTTCATTTAACTTATTAAACTTTTCAGGTCTAAAAATATTTTGGAGACCAAAGTATTTTGAAGACCAAATATTTTGGTCTTCATTATATCACCTGTTTCTTTGTCAAGGTTTTCTATTTCTTTACTGAGATGATCTATGTTTTCCTTTGTTACAAGACATTGTTTGCAATTGCTCATTGAAGCATTGTTTGATTATGGCAGCTTTAAAGTACTCATCAAGTAATCCTAATTTGTTTCTAAGCTAAGATTTTCCTGGCTCTTCATAGCTCAATGATTTTTTAAATTATATCCTGGATACTTAAGGTATTATATTTCAAATCCCTGGATTTTAATAAAACCTTCTGTTTTGGAAGACTTCTCTGACACCATGCCATCTTGTTGCTGGAAGTGAGGCTGAAAATCCAAGTTTCCCACTTGGGTCCACTGACTCTCTGGTGAGGAGGGATACCTTGTCACTCCTGAGTGGAGTAGGAAGTTATCCCTTCCACCAGCCCGCTGCTTACACCATTCTTTCTTGGAAGCCTTGCAACTGCTGCTCCCACGGCCTCTACTGATATAACTGAGAGGAGCTCTCTACTATTGGGTTTGATGGAAGTCTCAGCTGCTTCTCTGCTACAACCCCATTGGGGTGGCAGGAAATGCTTCATTATAGGTGGGTTAGGGTACAGCTCTAAACTTCCCACTTGACTTTTGATGATGAGCATAAGAATGTGACCAGTTTTTCTCTGCGATGTTTACTTGGAGTGGGGGAAGTTACTATTGAAATATTTTATGTTTTGCTAGGCTTTCCCTTTTCTGGTCTTTGGATAAAAAGGGAAGATATAATCTAGCTGCCCATTCCAAATTGAAATCTGATTAAGAACATTGATCCTTTCCATGAAGATGGAGGTGTAGGTAGAAACACTTTTCCTTCTTGCACAACCAAATCTAAAAACAACAAAGTTATAGCAACATAAACGCAGCCAAACCACAGAAAATTGAACTATATGGAAGCCTGACAACATCGAACCCTTCAGCCAAACCAATAAGAGGGCCAGAGCCAACTGCAGAGTGAGGTCGGGCAGGAAGGACCCACTGGACCTACCCCAGCACGTGGCCCAGGTGCGCCGGCAGCTGTGGGTGGATCCCAGGTGTGGAGTAGTGGGTGGGTCCACTGAGGGCTGACCGCGGTCACACATTCGAGTGCAGATAAACCATAAACCGGTGAAAGAGCTAGCAGTGAGACAGACCGCACAAGCCCCAGAGGTGAGAAGTGGCAGAGGGGACCGCAATTGTCCCTCGCTGACCCCGCCCCCAAGTACAGCATCACAAACCAGCAACCTGGGTTACCCTGCCCTGGTGAACACATAAGGCTCCACCCCTCATACATAACAGGTGCAAACAGATCAAAACATTATGGCTCAAGGAGAACAGCTTGAAGCTCCAGAGCCAATACTTCTAAGCAACCAAGAGATAGACAACCTATCAGATGCACAGTTCAAAACACTGGTGGTCAGGATGCTCACAGAACTGGTTGATTTTAGTCACAAATTAGAGGAACAAATGAAGGCTAAACTAATTGAAATAAAGGGAAATGCACAGGAAACCAATAGTAATGGAAAGGAAACTGGGACTCAAATCAAAAGAGTTGACCAGGAGGAAGAAAAAAATGACCAAACAGAAAAGAATGAAGAAACAAAAATTCAAAAAAATTAGGAGAGGCTTAGGAACCTTCAGGAC